TGGAGGCATCTGGCGAGCCTTCTGGGCAGTCGAAGGCCATTTTGATGCCATCTTGGGCCGTCTCCGTCTTGGGAGCATCTTCGGGCCACCTTAGCCGTCTTGACGGCCATCCTGGGCGTCTTGGAGGCATCTCCCAGGCCACCTTGGCAGTCGTGGAGGCCATCTTGGGCGTCTTGGGGACCTTGGGCCGTCTTGGGGCCTTCTTGGGGCCCTCTTGGGGGCCTCTTGGGCGCTCTTGGGTCGATGTTGGGGGCCGTCTTGGGCCGTCGGAGAGCTGAAAAGGAGCAAAGCCAAAATCCTTCAAAAACTAAAGGAACATCCATGATTTTAACCTTGTCGGGCCTTCCTGGAGGACGTCTTGGAGGGGTCTTGGGCCGTCTGGGAAACCTCTGGCGAGCCTTTTGGGCAGGCGAAGGCCATCTTCAGGCCATATGGGGCCGTCTTGGGTGCATTTGAGGCCGCCTTGGAGGCCCTCTTGGCCGTCTTGGAGGCATCTTGGAGGCCATCTTGGCAGTCTTGAAGCCATCTTGGGCTTCTTGGGGGCCTCTTGGGCCGTCTTGGGGCCTTCTTGGGGCAGTCTTGGGGGCCTCTTGGGCTGTCATGGAGCCATCTTGGAGGCGTCTTTGGCGCTCTTGGCTCGATGTCGGGGGCCTCTCGGGCCATCTTGGCAGTCTTGGAGGCCATCTTGGGCTTCTTGGGGGCCTCTTGGACCGTCCTGGGGCAGTCTTGGAGGCTTCTGGCGCATTCTTGTGGCGATCTTGATGGCCTCTTGGGCAGTCTTGGGCCGTCGGGATCCGAAAAGGAGGAAAAGCCAAAATCCTTCAAAAACCTACGCAAATGATTTGACCTCTTCGGGCCGTTCTTGAGGAGCCTGGAGGACCTCTTCGAGGCCTCCTGGGCCGTCTTGGAGGCCTCTTGGAGGCCTCTTTGTCCGTCTTGGGCCGTCTCGGAGGCATCTTGGAGCCACCTTACCCGTTTTGGAGGCCATCTTGGCCGTCTTAGACGCATCTTGGAGGCAATATTGGACAATCTTGGCCGTCTTGGACGCGACAGGGGGAAGCACCCAGGCATTTTCGGCAACCTTTCGGGTGGCCGGCGGGACGGGCCGAAGCCCCAGGGGGAATTCTTTTGGAAAAAAAACAAAACCAAGACCGAAAGGGTCTAGCACGCCAGGCACCCCTGCGATGAATCGACAGGGGGCGGCGGATTAGTGGCATTCGGCCCGTCCCGCCGCCGCTCCTGTGTCGGAGCCCGAGTGGATGTTTCTCGGATTGGGGTCTATTCGGGGAGCTCTCGGGGACCCTTGGGGGGGGGGCCGTTTGGAAGCCTCTTGGGGGGCCTCTTGGAGGGGTCTCTCTGGTGCCTCCTGGGGGTTCCTATCGGCCTCTTCGGGGGGGCCTCTTCGGGGGCCTCTTTTTGGGTCCTCTCTGGGGGCCCTCGGGGGCGCCTTTGGGGGCGTCTTAGAGGGCCGCACGCTCGTGGCGCCCGTTCGGGAGGGGGGGGGTCTCCGGGCCCCAGCTCTCGCAGATGAGTGTCGGGGTCTGCTGGGGGCCCCTCCTCCTCCCTCCCTCCTCCTCCTCCTCATCCTCCTCTCCTCCTCCTCCTCCCTCTCCTCCTCCTCTCCCTCCTCCCTCCTCCCTCTCCTCCCTCCCTCCTCCTCCTCCTCCTCCTCCTCCTCCTCCTCCTCCTCCTCCTCCTCCTCCTCCTCCTCCTCATTCTCCTCCGCTTCGAGACAGCTCGGAAGGCTCTTGGAGCTGCATGGGGGCCGCTTGAGGGACTCGAGAGGCTTCTGGTGGGCATGCTGTGGCATCTTGCCTGGGTTGTGGGTCGTGGGTGAGAGTGGGGCTTACGATGAGCCTCCTGGGGGCCTTTTGCATGGGTCGCGGGTCGTGGGTGAGATTTCTCATGGATGTTTCTCCGGGTAGTTTCGAAGGGCTCTCGGGGGCGGCTGGAAGACAGTTTAGGGCCCCTTGGGAGCTTCTCGGGTGCCTCTATTAGGCCTCATGGAGCTTGCCTGGGTTGTGGGTCGTCGGTGCAAGTGGGGGTTGTATGAATCGCTTCGCCCACTCCGCCGGCCCATTTCGCATCGATGTGGCTGCGTGGTTGTGTGCTCGTGCCCAGGAGGAACGGTAGGGCGGGCAGGTCGGTCTTCGAGGAGATCTGTTTTGAGATGTGGCTCGCACCCAGTCGAAGAGAGCCGATAGACTGCCCCAGAGGGCTCCAAGATGGCTTAAGAGAGCTCCAGCAGAGTTTCGAGACGTACCTGGGTTGTTGGTCGAAGTCCTCATGGATGCTTCTTGGAGTCTTCTCGGAGGGAGCCTCTGGGGAGCAGTTTTGACGCTCTTGGGGGCTTCTTGGGGACCTCAGGGGGCCTGTTGGGAGTCTTGTGAGCCTTCTTTGTGGCCTCTTAGGGGGCTCTTGGGGGCCTCTGGGGACTTCTGGGAGTTTCTTGGGGCCGAGAGCTCGACATCTCTGTTCGGGTTCCCCCTCTGGGCCCCTTCTTGGGGCCATCCTGGGGCCATCTTGGTTGCCTCTTGGGCCGTCTTAGGGCCAGTTTGGACAATTTGAGGTACCCCATTGGAGGCTTTTTGGACCGTCTTGAAGCAATCTTGGGGCCTCATGGGACGTCCAGGGCGGTCGGCAGCTCGAAAAGGCGGTACCGCCAAAATCTTCTGAAAACCTTGGCAGCATCTATGTTTGTTTGCGTTTTCGGGGGCCCTCGAAGTCCTACTGGAACCCTCTGGAGCGTCTTGGGCGCTCCTTGGGCCGTCCTGGGACCAGCGTGGGCGGGCCACCTTGAAACGCTCTTGGCCCGAGCTTGGCATCGCTCGGACGTGTGCATTTTCTCGGCGAGAACCATCGAGGACCATCCTGGACCATCGAGCAAAAAAAACACGCACGAAATCGAAAAATACACGAGGAATGGACGTCCGAGCGATGGCGAGCGAGGCCGTCGGGCATGCCATCCTCGTGGCGCCTCACATGGGGCGCTCGGAGGGCCCCCGAGGCAAGCGCCGCAGGAGTTCCGTCGGGCATCTCTGGCCCGACCTCGTTTCGGAGGTTGACAGACCTCCTGCTCTGACACGTCGATTAAGGAACTGGCCGCTTTCGGTTCGCGAGAGTGCGTCGCGGCCGCCATGTCTGCGGGGCCAGGTCCGTCGGTTTCGGCCGTAGGCCGTTTTCACTGAGGGGAGGTTTACCAAAGGGAGGTCTGTCCACCGCCGATTGATGGGACGTTGCCAGGACCTTGCTGGGACCTTGCCGGGATATTTTTTCCCCGGGTGCCCTCAGGGGCCGCCATGCGCGCGCGATTTAGAAACATTTTTAAATTCTTATCGGAGCTTTTAGCACGCCTCTGGCCCGTTGGGCCGGCGAATTCTGACCATCCTGGGGGCCTGGGTTTTGGGTCGTGGGTCGTGGGTGAGAGTTCTCATGGGTACTTCTTCAGGTAATTTTGGAGGGCTCTCGGGGGCTTCTGGGGAGGAGTTTTGAAGCCCCTTGGGAGCTTTTCGGGGACCTCGTTTTGAGACATCGCGGAGCTTCCTGGTGGCCTTTTGGGGGCCTCTCGGGGCCTTTTCGGGCTTTGTTTGGGGCCTCTGGGGTCGTCCGTGGGGCATCTTGGGTCCGCGCGCTCGAAATGCCCGTGCGTGCTTCCCCGCTAGGAGCCTCTCTTGGGCTGTCTTGGGGGCCTCTTGGGCTCCCTTGGGCCCCCCTCGGACCGTTTTGGAGCCTCTTTGGGAGCCTCTTGAGCCGTCTTGGGGCGATCTCCGGGGCCTCTTGGGGCGATTTTGGGAGCCTCCTGGGCCTTCTTGGACGCCGTGAAAACGCAGAAGGCGATCTCGCTGAAAATGTACGCTTCCCGACGGGAATGGGACGATGTTCTGCTTCTTGGGGCCGTCGTGCGGATGCTCTTGGGGACTTCTTGTGGCGTCTTGTGGTCCCCTTGGGCCGTCTTTGGCCGCAGCGGGTCGTCATGAAGCTGGCTTGGACCGCTCTGGGGATCTGTGTAGCCATCTGAGGCGGTTTTGGAAACGCTCTCGAGGGTTCGGGAGGTCGTCCGAGGCTGGCTGGGCAGTTGCCAGGAGCTCCCGAGAGTTCCCGAGAGCAGGTGGGAAATTGGGGGTCCATGCCCTTGAGAACCTTTCAGCCCCTCTACTTCTGAGGGCTGCAAGGCTGCATGAGCCTTGGGTTCAGTCGGGCCTGTCCCTCTACAGGGGGAATATTCCAAAATAGACAACAACAACAAAAAACAAAACAAACAAAAAAAATGGAGCGATGTTTTGAGCATGTTTTACCATTTGTTGCTGTAGTTTTTGGGGTACTGCTTATTTTTCGTCGAAAATCCCCATGTAGGGGGACAGGCCCGACCTAAGCCTTGGGGCGCTCGGCCACGCGCTGAAGGCACGGTGGCGGATCTCGCTGCACGGGGGGAGGAGCGGGGTGTGAAGCGTGAGCCTCAGAGGTTCCCGCTTTTTCGCGCGCCCTGCCCGCCCATCTGGCGCTTTGGTGTTAAGGGCTCGACTTTCACGGTGGTTTCGCGATGTCGATGGCCGTTGTCGTTCGGGCTTCGTTCTGCGCCAGGGGCGGAGCGAAGACAAGACGAGGGGGGTCCCGGTTCCGCGCGCCCTTCCCGCCCATCTGGCGCTTCGATGTAGGGTCATGTCGGGCCTGTCCCTCTACAGGGGGGATACTCAAAAATAGTCAAAAAATAGTCTGGGGACTATTTGTTTATCATTTTGGAGCATGTTGGGTGTATTGTTGGCGTACGTTTAGCTTTTCGCCCACAATCCCCCTTGTAGGGGAACAGGCCCGACCTAGATGTAGGGCTCGACTTTAGTTGTGTATCCGCGATTTTCGATCGATGGCCGTTGTCATTTGGGTGTCGCTTTGCACCAGGGGCGGAGAGCGAAGACAAGACGAGGGAAGACGAAACACACACACACACACACAACGAGACCGGAGAGCACGGGTTGGGTCCAGCCCTGTGTTGGTCTCCGCAGGTGCAGCACCGCATCGCCGAGACGGCGCCCCTCTGCGAGATCTCCTCGTGGAAAGAGGCTGGGGCCAAGGATCGGCGGCGAGCTCGGGGGGGGCAGCGAGAGGGGATGGGCCTTCTCGGGAGGCTCGGAGGGCGTCGGGCCGTCTGAGAAGCTTTCTGAGCCTTCCTCGAAGGCACAGAAAACTTCAGTGGGGGCCCATGCCAAGAAGCACCCTGCTTGCCTTCAGGGTGCCCTGGGCTTCTTCGGTTTCGATGCTTCTGCGGTGGAAGGCGTGGCGTTCCCACACCGAAAACCAATTGGCGTCCTGGGGTCTCAGGGTTGGCTTTCCTGTGGGAGGTGTCTTGTGGCCTGGCCTCCACTGTACCTCGCGCGCGGGTTTGCAGGATTGGGTTTCTTGCGATGGTTTCTTGCGACGGCGCCCGCACTGTATCAGGAGACCAGATGGCTTCTGAGAAGCCCCGCCGCCCTATGAGAAGTCCTGCCCATCCTCACGTCCGCCCCCGGCGCGCCGCCCGGAGGAGAACTTGCCCCCCTGGTCTCAGGAGACGACTCAGTTCGAGGACTTCCACCTGGCCTACAAGAGCGTGGTCGAGACGGCGGACAAGGACGAGATCGACCGCGAGCTGATGCAGTCGGCCGTGACGCAGCTGCAGGCCATGGAGCTGCTGCTCATCGAGAAGAAGCAGGCGGAGGAGGAGATGAAGCTGAAGGCCGGCAAGAAGAAGGGCAAGAAGAAGTAGGCACCGGCGTCGCCCTCGTGGCCTGATGAGTGCCTCCACGCTCCGACGGCGCGCTCGTTCGTGGGCGTGGGGGCGTGCTGGATTCAAGTCGGTCCCGTCCCTCTACAGGGGGAATATTTCAAAGAAGTCAAAAAATAGTCTGGTGACTATTTTTTGAACAGTGTTAGACCATGTTGGAGTATGTTTGGGGTATTTCATTCGTCGAAAATCCCCCTGTAGGAAGGACACGCCCGACTCAATGCTGGATGCCCGCGGGCATGTTGTGGAGATGTCCCTCATAGTCGGAGAGGAGGAGGAAGAAGAAGAAGAAGAAGTTGCGCAAGCAGAAGTGTGAAGAGGTCCGCCCGTTTTCCTTGGACCGGCGCTGGGCAACCCTGGCGGCGCCTCCGGCGCCGCCCCTTAGCGGCGCGCTCCGCGCCAGCAGGGGAGCATGGCCCGGCACCGACCCGAGCAGCTCTCGCGGACCTCGGTGGTCCCCAAACGTGGTGGTGAGAACACCCAGTGGTGAGTTTTTGGGCGATTTGGGTAATGGTTTTCGAGCGCTGGCTGGCCCAGGAAACGTAAAACCTCGTGGCGACCGCGTGTCCCCAAACCCGGTGGCGACCCAGAATTATTTCTTGGGGGAATCGGGGTCACCACCGGGTGTCTCCGAAGGATCGACCACCAAGGACCTCCGAGGATCGACGTTTCTGCAGGGTGCTGCAGCGGGGGCCCCGTGCCCTGAAGCACCCCGCCTGCCTCCAGGGTTCAGTCGGGCGTGGCCCTCCAGTCTGGGGGGACGTTTTTGTTTTTGTTACTACGTTTGAGTATGTGTTTGGGGTGTTGTTTGCCTTTTTTGCATTCTTCATCCAAGATCCGCCTGTAGGGGGACGTGCCCGACCTAACTCCAGGGTGCTCCGGGTTTCTGGGGCTTCGATGGCTCTGCGACGGGAAAGCGTGGCGTGCCCACGCCAAAGATCGATGGACGCCCGGGGATCTCGGGGTTGGATTTCTCGTGGAAGGTCTCTTCTGGCCCGGCCCGGACTGTAGTTCTCGTGTGTCCTTTTCGGGGGCGGAAAAGAGGGGGGTGATGACTAGGGGGGGTGGATATCATGGCGGGGGCCATGAGATTTCCCCAGATCTCATGGCTCCTCTTCTTATTCCATGACGTCCCTGGCCCCCCCGCTGGGCCGCGCACATGCCGCCGGTCATGATTTGCACTCCACCCTCTTGGACACCCCCCTCTTGGCCGCTCCCGACCTTTCCGAGATCCAAATGCGTCTGGCAGCTCTTTCCGCTCACGTTGCCATCCTTGCCGGAATCCCCGCAGGAGGCACCGAGCAGTCGAGGCCCCGGCGCATTTGCGTGCGCCGATGCTGGAGGTACCTCCTCATCGTAGGGCAACTCACTCTTCCCCCTCGTCCCGCTCCCATGTTGTGTTCCTCTTCCTCATCCTGCTCCAGTTCCTCGTGGTCCTCCTGCTCCCATCTCCACTTTTCCTCCCCATCCATGACTGTCCTGCTCATGCTCCTCGTGGTCCTTCTCCTCCTCTTCCTCCCTCCTTCTGTTGTACATGGTTTCGTCATGTTCCTCATTTGTACGACCTGTATTACGTAGTGTTGGTTCCTCCTCCTAGCCCCCCGTTCTTTTCCCATGTCTGCTTCCCATCACTCCTCCATCCAGCTTCTCCCCCTCCTCCCCTCCCTCACCTCCATCCATCTCCTCTGTCCCTCACTCCCCCTCCTCATTCTTCCCACCCTCTTCCTCCTCCATCCCCTGCCCCCCACCCATCGGCTTCGTCCGTCGCCATCGGCCTCGTTCATTCCTCCTCCTCCTCCTCCTCCTCCTCCTCCTCCTCCTCCTCTTCCTCCTCCTCCTCCTCCTCACCCTTCTCCTCACCCTCCTCCTCACCCTCCTCCTCCTCCCTCCTCCTCCTCCTCCTCCTCCTCCTCCTCCTCCTCCTCCTCCTCCTCCTCTCTTCCCCCCCTCTCCCCTCCTCCTCCTCCTCCTCCTCCTCCTCCTCCTCCTCCTTCCTCCTCCTCCTCCTCCTCCTCCTCCTCCTCCTCCTCCTCCTCCTCCTCCTCCTCCTCCTCCTCCTCCTCCTCCTCCTCCTCTCCTCCTCCTCCTCCTCCTCCCTCCTCCTCCTCCTCCTCCTCCTCCTCCTCCTCCTCCTCCTCCTCCCCCACATCCCACCAACCAAAGCTCAGGCTTACCGTGAGGGCGAGGGAGAGGGGGAAGGGAGAGAGAAGAGAGAGAGGAGATGGAAAGGACGAGAGAACCGATCAGAGCCCTTACCTTCTTACCCCGCGTCCCGCTCTGCGCCCTCGGGCAGCTGGCCGTAGCTGTCCATCAGGCCGTGATGCGGCGCAGGCGAGGGGGGCCCCTTCCATCCTGGCAGCCCCCTCCACTCCTCTCGTCCTCATCCCCCTCTCCTACTCATCCTCCTCTCCGTCCTCATCCTCCATTATCCGGCCTCTCCTCATCCTCCTCCAGTCGCACCCTCCCCGCTCAACACGCCTCCTCCTGCTCCTCCTGCTCCTGCTCCTGCTCATCCTGCTCCTCCTGCTCCTGCTCCTCCTCCTCCTCCTCCTCCTCCTCCTCCTCCTCCTCCTCCTCCTCCTCCTCCTCCTCCTCCTCCTCCTCCTCCTCCTCCTCCTCCTCCTCCTCCTCCTCCTCCTCCTCCTCCTCCTCCTCCTCCTCCTCCTGCTCCTCCTCCAGCATCCTCCTCCACACCCCTCGTCCTCCCCCTCGCCTCCTCGCTCCTCCTCGCTTTCTCCTCCTCCGCCTCCCCGTCTCACTGCAACCTGTGCCCGCGCGGCGAACTGCGCCTCGACCCGGACCGGGGGAGCGGGGCGGAAAGAGCGTCGGGCGAGCCTCCGTCGCACCGCCCGCCCGCTCCCCTCGCGCATGGGGGGGGGCGACCCGTGCCAGCGACCGCCAGCCGTCCTTCGTCGCCAGCTGGAGCGGTCGTCGGGGAGCAGCGCCCGGGGGGGACGGGCTCCGTCTAGGCCCCGCGGACGGGGTCCGAGCAGATGGGGTCGGAGGATCGCGCGCCGCTTCGCCGAGGCGGCTCGATGGGGAGCCCGCTTTGCTTCACGTCGACGTCGCCGATGTATCGTCGACGTCGACGATGCATCGCCAGTGCATCGCCGATCCATCGCCGGCGCATCGCCGACGTATCGGCGATGCGGTGCGATCCTCCGACCCCATCTACTCCGACCCCATCTAGGAGGCCTCTACTCATGGGGGGGCGCATCGACTGCTAATCGCCCACTGATCGCCGATGGCCGAAGGGGAAGAAACTGCAGAAACAGAAGCGTTCGACGGCCCGCGCAGATTTCTTGGCTCGGTGCTGTGCCCCCCTGGCGGCGCCTTCGGCGCCGCCCCTGGCGCGCGTCGATCCAAGAAATCCGCGCGAACCTCCGAAACTCTATGTTTATGCAGCTTGTTGCTCCTCTGGACGGGGGCCCGATAGCCCACCCTGCCCTGGAACGTGCGGATTCGCCATCGGAGGCCCATCGCCGACCGATCGGCGATGCATCACCGATTCCAGCTCGATGTTTTCCTTACCCTGAGCCGCTCCCCCCCTAACGTTGCCCCGCAGCTATGCGCGAGGGTGCCCTTCTCATCGCCTGGTGTGACCTTTCAGCGCTGTGCGACTGGGGTGCCTGGAGGGAGGAGAAGGAGGAGGAGGAGCAGGACGAGGAGGAGGAGGAGGAGGAGGAGGAGGAGGACGAGGAGGAGGAGGAGGAGGAGGAGGAGGAGGAGGGGTAGGAGGGAGAGGAGGAGGGGGGACGGCGAGGGCGCGAAGGAGAATGACGTGGATGCGGAGGAGAAGGAGGAGGACGACGACGACGATGCTAGACGACGACGCCGAAGGCGCAGGCGGATCAGAAGCGCGAGAACGCGCGAACATTCTTAGGAGCCACCTTGGCTCAAAAAACGCTGTTTGGGGATGTTGGGCTCGCTATACTATGTTCACCACCGCCACTACTACTATCACCATCATCTTCATCATCGCCACCATCAGCGTCGTCATCAGCATTATTATCATTCTTTTAGCATCAGCATCATCAACAGTATCATCATGATAATCCGTATCAGCATCATCAGCATCATGATCATGATCGTCATCATCATCACCATCATCCGTATCATCGTCATTATCAGCATCATCATTAGCATAATCAGCGCAATCATCAGCAACAGCATCATCAGCATCATCATGATCTGAGTCGTAGTCGTTGACGTCGTCATCATCAGCTTCAGCTTCAGCATCAGCATCAGCATCGTCGTCGTCATCTCTCCTCTTCCTCATGCTTCCCCCGTTCCTCATCATTCCTCCCACAGGTCATCATCTGACCATCTCCTCCTGCTCATCGTCATCCGCATTGTTCTCCCTCCTCGTCCTCCTCCTCCCCCTCTTTCCTCCGCTTTCTTCGTCGCCCTCGTGCTCCTTCTCTTCCTCCTCCTCCTTCCCAACTTCTGCCCCATGTCCCTCCTCGCCCCTCATCACCCATCCCTCCTCGTCGTGCTCCTCTCGTCTGCATCCCCCTCGGCTCGCAGCCCCTTCCCGCCCCACCCCCTCCTCCCGCCCCCGAGCCCCAGGTTCCCCGAGCTCCACGCGAAGCTCCGCCGGGCCATCGTCCAGGCCGGGCGGCCGGGGAGCCGGCGACCGGGAGGGGGCCTCCCGCGGGCGGCCGGGGGGCCCGGGGTGGAAGAGTTGGCCGGGGAGGCTCCGATGCTGGGCCTCCAGAGGCGTCCAGAGGCGTCCGACGACCCTTCAAAATCTCGCCCCCCCTTCCCTTGCCCTCTGCAGGAGCCCCCCTTCGGGTCCTGCAGCCTGTGGGTGCATGCTTCTTAGAAGCTGCACCACCTGGCCTGTCCACGGCAGCTTAGTGCTGTCTTTGGCACCGCGGTCGATGCCCACGGCACAAAAAGAAACTCCCTTGCCCCCTCCCCCAAAAGAAGTACGCAATCCAGGACCGTTCCCCCAGAAAGCTTCCCTCCCCGTCACCCCGCGGACTGGAAGGTGCGCAGGCTGTTCGAGGGAGCCCACCTGCGTCTGGGCTCGAAGTGGCCTCACGCGGGCGTTTGCATGCCAACTGCTCGATGCAGAGGGAGGAGCAGTTTACCTGTGACCCGCCTGTGGTCTCTAATTTGGGGTCAGGGCTCGGACATCCAACGTGATGATTTCCTTCCGATGCCGAATGCCCAGGGAGGCGGCCTGGCTGCATCGGAGGCAAGTGCGGCTGAACGAAACAGAGGTGACAGGAGGTCCCAGGAGGACTCCAAGAGTTTCCCAATATAAGCGGACACGTCGTTTAAGCCGCGAGCATGTGTTGCACACAGCATCTGGCTACCTCGCCAGCGGAGCAGCCCTGGCCGCGTGACTCTTCTTCGGACCAGAGGTCGGGCCGCCAAAGGAAAGCGGGTCAAGCAAGGAGACAGAGGGAGCGGGGAAGCGAGGAGCCGAGGAGAGGAGAGAAAGAAAAGCCGAGGGAGGGCGACAGGAACCTCGAACCTCGAATCTGAAAAAAAAAAATGATTTTGCTTCGAGCGATCCCCACCGAAACCTTCGGCGTTTGATCCCGACGGTGCTCACGCCCATTGCAACGATGTGCGCGTGGCCCAGTGTCGGCCAGTGCGGCGGTCTGACCAGGTTGCAAGATGCAAGTCCCTGAAATCGAACGACCCCAGAGCCCCTGATGAAAGAAACCGAAACAAGCTGTGGGGCGAAAAACTCACCTGCAAAACGCGTGGGTGAGAGACTCCAAAACACGTCCTGGAAAAATCAGTAGGAGGAAGAGGAGCATAGCGGTAGCAGTAGCAGTAACAGCACTAGAAGTAGTAGCAGTCGAAGAAAAAATAAGAAGACATAGAAGTAGTAGTAGTAGTAGTAGTAGTAGTAAAAGTAGTAGTAAAAGTAGTAGTAGTAGTAAAAGTAGTAGTAAAAGTAGTAGTAAAAGTAGTAGTAAAAGTAGTAGTAAAAGTAGTAGTAAAAGTAGTAGTAGTAGTAGTAGTAGTAGTAGTAGTAGTAGTAGTAGTAGTAGTAAAAGTAGTATTAAAAGTAGTAGTAGTAGTAGTAGTAGTAGTAGTAGTAGTAGTAGTAGTAGTAGTAGTAGTAGTAGTAGTAGTAGTAGTAGTAGTAGTAGTAGTAGTAGTAGTAAGTAGTAGTAGTAGTAGTAGTAGTAGTAGTAGGTAGTAGAGTCGTAGGAGTAGGAGTAGGAGTAGGAGTAGGAGTAGGAGTAGGAGTAGGAGTAGGAGTAGGAGTAGGAGTAGGAGTAGGAGTAGGAGTAGGAGTAGGAGTAGGAGTGGGAGTAGGAGTAGGAGTAGGAGTAGTAGTAGTAGTAGTAGTAGTAGTAGTAGTAGTAGTAGTAGTAGTAGTAGTAGTGGCAGTCTGGCGTGACGTCGTGACGCCTGCCACGTGTGATGCGTTGTCCAATCGGTCCTTGCTCCGCCTGTTTGGTCCAGTGGCCAGTCTGACCTCGGCGCGCACGTCGCGTTTGATAAAATTACAGTACGGGTCATTATGTCATGACGTTCCCTTCAAGACTGTTTTTTTGTTGTTCTAAAGTATGCTCGTCTGCTTTACGGCACCGTGTTAGAACATTGTGGGTTATGTCAGGTTATATTATGTTATGCGTTGTTCAGCGACGTTGGTTACGTTATGTTGAGTTCAGTACAGTATATGATGCCTTGCCTTGTTATGGCATACTTATCCAACGAAGGTATAGTATAAGGTGTCATGTAAAGCTCGTTGCAGTCTGAGTATCAGTAGTGGAAGAGTTATGCTTTAGTCTGCCAGCTACGCTCGGTTATGTCGGGACATGTTGCTTGAGTACCTCTTCTGTCGTGCTAAGTTATGGTATGTGAGTGTGTTGTGTTGTAGTATGTTCTGCCGAGATCTGTCATGGCATGGCTTGCCATGTTTAGGAATGCTGTGAGTCTGTCTCTGAGAATGATAGGCGGTGTCAGTGTGCGAAGTTTTATGTCTGTTCGGTGACGCTATGCTATGCTGTGCTCTGCCATTTCTCTTATGATGTGTAGTGTTACGTTATGCTCTGTAAGTTCCCTGATGGCATTGGATGCGTTGGTTTGGTGTGTCCTATCATGTCCTGTTCTGACATGCTATGAAATAGTGTGTGCTGTCATGTTGTGGCGTTCTGGTATAATATGGTATGCGAACGCCGCGCTCTGTCGTTGCATGGCTTGTCATGTTAAGGAATGTGATTGGCTTTGACGCTGTGCTACGGTGTGGTCTGCGCTGCCATGATATGTTATGGTATGGTATGGTCTAGCATTGTATGGTATGGGTTGCTCTGTTGTGTTATCGTATGGAATGGCGTGTTATGATCGGTGATGTATGATCCAGTATGGCATGGTGTATTGTGATAGCATGTATTATGTGTTGCTATGGTGTAACATGTTGTGCCGCGCTCTGTCATGTTATAAGTTGCCATGTATGTGTTGCGATGCTCTATGGCATGGTATATGTGCTGTGATGCCTTGTTATGATGTGGTGTGGTCTGCCTTCGTGTGGTATGATCTGCTCGGTTCTGCCATGTTATGGCATGGCATGATAAATTATGCTGTGTATGCTCCGACCTGTCATAGCACGTGGTGTTCTGCTGTGCTGTGCTATGATGTGTTATGTCATGGGGTGCGAGGCTGTGGCAGGTTCCGGTTTGGTATGTTCAGTTATGTGATGCTTTGTTATGGTATGCTGAATGTGTCGTGGCACGGAATGCTATGTGTTGTGATGTTGTGTTATGGCATGCACTGTTCTATCCTGATGTGTTATGTTACGATCTGGTCTGACATGGTATAGTATGTTATACTCGGACATGGTATGTCAAGCGGTGTGGTATGATGCTGTGTTCTGTTATAGCTTATAGTGTTGTGTTGTACTACGTTCTGCTATTTGATAATACAGCTCTTTCATGTTATGATTTGTCGGCGCGAGGCGGGATACTAGGGGATTCGGGGGACATGGCGACCTCGCGGCCGCGGTATGCAGAGTGGCGCGAGGCGGGACTCTCGGGGACACTCGGGGGACCTGTGGATCTGGCGGCCGAGTGGCGTGAGGCGGGACTCTCGGGGACACTCGGGGGACCTGGGGATCTGGCGGCCGCGGTGTGCAGAGTGGCGTGAGGCGGGACCCTCGGGGACACTCGGGGGACCTGGGGATCTGGCGGCCGCGCTGCGCAGGGTGGGCAGATAGGGAGGCTTGTTGTCAAAATCTAACGACCACAACCTGTCGGGTTTTTTGTGTTTTTTTCCTTTTTTTGGTCACAGTTGACCGAACCAGTACACACACACAACCTGTCGGGTGGGGAGCGAAGATTCACATGCGACTTTCCTTCCCCAATCCCCCCGGCTCCGCCCGCAAAGTTTTCGGCCGCTCGCAAAGAAGGGGGGAGAACTTCGGAATACACCCCCAGGGGGCTGTTCGCACGCACCCCTACCGAGGATGGACGGCCCACCATCATATATCCCAAGATTTGGGTCCAAAATTTCTTGTCCGGTCGAAACCCCCCCAGAGTCGGGGATTGTGAGGTCGCCATGCCCCCCTGCTGGAAAACACGCCTCGGGGATCGAGGTCTGGGGGGTCGCCCTCGGCAGGGCGTGGCGCGTCGCCGGGCACAGCTTGCCAGTGCGCACCGCGTGTCGCCGAGC